GGTGACCTGAGGTTGTAGAAAGCATGGGGCAGGCTTTGAGACTGGGATTTTGCTGTGAATGGTGAGTTCTTTACACCCCTGCCTTGGGAAGCATAGCACAGCTTTGGTAGCCAGATTTTTTAAAATTCCTTGGCTTCTGTTAACTTTTCAGATAACCAAATCTGTTTATGCAGTCCATCCTTCTGGTCAAAATGAAGGGCCCAGGGTGAAAAAGGAGGAACATTCCAAAAATCAATACAGCAGTATGTGTTTCTGAGCTTAGAAAGATATTCAAGTGGAGTACTGTTTGACATCTGACTTAGCAGGGAAATTTTGATTTGGAGGTCTGGCTGGTAAGCTCATGTGTTAATGTTGCAGTGGAAGGATGTTGTGCGATGGGACATTAGGAGATGAAATCCAGGGGTTCTTGGTTGCAGTGATAGGTATTGTGAAAGGCTGCTTGCTGGATTTTTCTAGATCTGAGCAGTGATGAGGTCTGGCAATGTTAGTGTAACTGCTCCGGGGGGAAAGATGCAATTTTGATCTTCCTGGGCTGCAGGAACCAATTTCTCATGGTTAATGAAGGCAACTTGCTGTTTCTGCAGGGTGCATTCTGTCTTGCAAAGATAAGAGTATGTGCTACCCAATTGGCCAGATATTCTGCTGGTGGTTTTTGCCTACCTGTGGCACTTGATTCAGTTCATTGTCTGATAAACAGCTAGAGAGAACTGGTGAACATCTGGTTAAGGAGCTCGGACCCATCTCTGCTGGAATTGTTTGTGCTTTTACTTGATAAATTCAGGTTAGCTTTACCACTTTTAACGTGTCCAAGCCTTATTGTTGAATGACACAATGTATCTTTGAAATCCTTTTCACCAGGGGTGTGCTGAAGCCTGTATCTGGTATAACTACATAGACTGAAACTAGATAAATAAGAACATCAAACCAGGTTATCTTCTTCCCATCCCTCACTGTGGTTAAAGGATTTAGCTGGCTGTCAGCCTCCTGGTTTGTAGTACTTGCAAATAAGTCTATTTTGTTTCTCTAAGGAATTTTTACATGAGTGACTTTCATCTGTTCTGAAACTGCTCCTTTCTCTTCCTCAGAGCAAGTTTGATAACCTTTATGGTTGCAGAGAGTCCCTCATCGATGGCATCAAACGTGCTACAGATGTCATGATTGCTGGAAAAGTCGCAGTCGTGGCAGGTTACGGCGACGTGGGCAAAGGCTGCGCTCAGGCCCTGCGGAGCTTTGGAGCCAGAGTCATCATCACTGAAATCGATCCCATCAACGCGCTGCAGGCAGCCATGGAAGGTGAGAACTGAAGGAGGCGCAGAAGTTAATGCATCGGGGAGGGGGGGGTGCTCTGCATGTCACTATAGAGCAATAAATGATAGTTGGTCAGGAAGGTTTTGGTGGGTTTTGGCTCCCTCATGTTGAGGTAGAGGTGACTCCAGTTTAACTGCAGCAATTCTTTCCTCATTGTTAGGGAGGGAGTTTATTAGCACAGGCCTTGAAGATGTTTGGAGTCAAGGATGGAGAGACCATAGTGGGGTAAGGCCCCCATTTCATAATGCTGGAGGCCTGGTTTTGAATGGGTCCGTTATCTTCAAGTTGTGCAACTCTAGCCTCCAGTGAGGGTCGTGACTTTGGTAGAATATCTCCACAATAGAACACCGGCCTTATCTTCAGAAGATGTTTTTGGAGAGCAACACCGTGCTCTCTGCCTCTCCAGCTGTGCTCATGGCATGCTGTCGTAGCTGTGCTCCTTCTCTTCTGCAGGTGCCTCACGTAACTCTGCTGCTTAGTGCCAATTTGTCCCATTTCTAGTCGTACCTGTCTGGAAGCTGCAGGTGTTGTGGGTGCACTTGCCTTTTCAGAGTTGGCCCTCTGAATCCAGTCTGAGTGCTGTGCCAGGTACTACACCTATGGAGGAAGATGTTGAATGTATAGATCTACAGATGGAAACAGGTGAAGGATAGATATTTTTGTGCTACTTTGGTATTCAGTAAGACAAATAAGCCCACTACCTTGCATCCTCCATAGGTCAGGTGTTGGCACAGACTTCTCTTACTCTTTCTCTGGACTTTTCTACTTGTAATATTGTAGCCCATTTTTTAATAAGTGATGGTGGTTGGGTGGAGGAATAACTTTTTCTCTTTTCAGGCTATGAAGTTACAACCATGGAGGAGGCCTGCAAAGAGGGCAATATCTTTGTTACCACCACCGGCTGTACTGACATTGTTCAGGGCAGGTACGGTCCAGCTACTTGCTTTAGTGAAGGCATACCTGTACAGTTAGATTTTTTTCTTACATATACAAGCATAACTCGTCAACAGTATGGTGAGGGTTAGCACACACTCATTTGTGAACATCAGAATTTAGCATCAATTTAGTGAGAAATCGGGGCTTTGGTCTTTCAGTTCTGTTGGATACTGCCACATTGCAATTGTTCCTGTCTTACAGCATGTAATGATGGAGAAACAAAAGGTGTAGAGGGATAGACAGACTTCTGAAGAATGAGAGCATCAGGGCTAAATCCTGTGTTAGGACAGATTGATGTGAAGAGAAAAGGAGATAGGTAAAGGTTGAAAGTGATTCCATCTGTGAGTACCCATAGCAGTCTTAAACTAGCCTGTTCTCCATGAACTGCTTTGCAGTTTTTTGTTATTTCTTCTTAGATCTCAGTTTATAGCCCCTCCGCTCTACACAAACTCATTCCAGTCTTTGCCATTATGATTGTACATGTTGTTGAAGGTCAGATGACATGGGAGGAGATAAGGCCATTAGTCTCCAGAGATATAAAACTGCTGGAAACTTTGAAGTCATGAAGAAAACAGTTTCTCCTGTGTAGGAAAGAGAATAACTGCAAGTATTTCAGTTTTGACCAATTAAACAAAATAGTTTTACTTTCCATACTGGGAAAATATTTTCTCTCCAAAAACATCTTGTTCTTGGGTAGTGTCCTTCCCTAGAAGCTTGAGAGTGTTTCCCAGCAGACTTCACATGCCTGGAAGATTACTAGACCTGTATGTCTTGTGAGAGTCAAATGCAGTCAGTGAGCCAGGCACTTTTAATTTCTCCTTGAGCAGGGTTATGGACCAGAGCATCTTCTGGTGCTGAAGAAAAAATTTTTGTGCATTAACTTTTGATATAACTCTGTTTTTGCAGGCACTTTGAGCAGATGAAGGATGATGCCATAGTGTGTAATATTGGCCATTTTGATGTGGAAGTGGATGCAAAGTGGCTGAATGAAAATGCAGTGGAGGCGGTGAATGTTAAACCTCAGGTGAGACAGCCCTTGCACAAGCTCTCCTGCTAGAAAGAAGCAACAGACTCAGTGTCTGTTCCCAGAAAGGAAGGTATTTCTCTTCAGGTATTTTGTTTCTAACTTGCTTGGAAGCCAGTGTTGCTCTGAGCTGATCAGAATGGAGATTCTGCTCTGCTTTTCCCCAATTAACCTGAAACAAGCTGTACATCATATTCTTGTGTTGATGATATTAAAGGAATTGGTTCAAGCCAGGGCCCAAGTGTACAGCGTGGTCTCTGGCAAGAGGTGCCTGGTATGGATGCGTCTTCCTACTTCCTTGACAAACAGGAGTCTACCCCTTCGTGGTGGTTGTGTAGATAATTGGTTGCATCAAGTTCATTCCATACAGGAAGTCAGCTTTGATGTTTGGGATAGATGATGAGTACAGAACAGACCACTAGGGACATAAAACTTCTTAAGAACAGAGCCCATAGATTGCCTGGTGGCTCATCTGATGAATTTCCTCCTGGGAAGCTGCTTGATCATGTACTGTTCTGCACCAGAACAATCTTGGTCCTAGTGCAGGGTGCCAGGATTAGAGTGAATCTCAAGGAAATGTCTTCTGGGATTCTGCCACGATTTGAAAAAAATCACATCTTGTTGTTTTCAAAGCATTTTTTTTTTTTTTGCTTGGAGTTTGAAGCCTCAGGAAAGCCTATTTGGAGCTCTGCCAAACTCAGACTTCTCTTCCAGACTTAGTGGCTTCATTTTAGGAACCTGTGTAGAGCAGAAGTCTGTGTGTGGGCAGACAAGGCGAGATGTTTTATCCTTGCTCAGCTTGCATTCCCACCATGTGTTTACTTCAAGCTATGGCAGTAGCTACACAGGAAAACAGAGATCTAAAAATTTCAGCTTTTCAGTTGTGTCTAAAGCAGAGAAACAAAACTGAATCAAAACTGTTTTGTAACACCAGCAATGAGGGAGAGCATCACATAAAGCAAACCAGGCTTTGTGTGACTTGGCATGAGACTTCTAGTTACCTTTAAAGAGGGATTGTGCTTGCTGATAGGATTCTGGGACAGAATCCTTTCTACTTTTTTAAAAACACAGCACCCAAGCATATGTCTTAGTAGATCTCAATCTGCCCTTCCAATTTTCATAACTCCCCTGTGGCTTATTTGCCACCCACATTAAACTCTTACTAGGCGGTTGCGAGAGTTGTTTCAGTATCCTGTTTGCTGTTGGGACGCTCTACATGGGCTCAACTAGGTATGGAGTTATACTCTCACGGTCTCGCTACATTTGAGCCTGTTCTTGCCCTTGACCTTACCGTGGAGCTGACTTTGCTCAACAGACGTTGTCCTGGAGGAGATTGCAGCTAGCTGCTTGCTTTCCGATTGCTCATGTTTTAAAACTAGAACTGGGACTGCTCGAAAACTAATGAACGCTAACTTGGGTGTTAATATGGTAATGTACAAACTACCTGCACGTGGCCATTCGATGTGGCTCTTAAAGTCCCTGTGAAAAATGGTGTCACTGCTGGCAGAGGTAGTAGACCTGTTTTCTTTATATACTCCGTATGGATGTTACAGATGTACTAGGTGCAGTGAGATGTGGTCTAGTCCAAGGTATGAAATCAGCAACAAGTTTCTGGTTAAAACCTTTTTTGAAGAGATGGAATTAGGGTCAAAGTTGTTGGTATGGTTTAATACTGAAGACCTGCCCCCTACCCTGAATTTTTCTGATCTGTTATGTAAACTGCTGCTGTCTCAAGCAGGATGTTCACAGTGATGGAAAGGAGATACCTGCTCACAGAGCAAAAGCTGTGAAAATAGCTGCCCAGCATGCTGTGGCTGCCACAAGTGCATCTGCATAAAAGTCATTAGCTAGAGTTTGTAAAAGGTGTCTCTGGCAGCCCTGAGTGGCCCTCTGTCTCAGCTTGGTGCACAGATAGCTGAAGCTGAGAGGATTTTCTGGCGAAAACAGCACTTCACCCTTGGGCTGTTCCTGTACTTTTCTGTACCCATCTACTGGTTACCACTGGAGATGGGATGTACACAGAGGTAAATCTGAATCTTACGTGGCTGTTCCACATGTCTGAAGCTTTACCGAAGTGAGGATGGCCTATAGATGTGTACATTGCCAAGCCCAAGAAAAGCTGGTCCTTGACTCAGGTTAGTACTTGGGTTTTGTTGACTTCCAGCAGTGAATCTGAAGCACTGTTAACTGGCTTGTATCTCCAGCTGGACTCTGTTGTTGGTGTATTTAATGCTATACGTAGCTACACTGCGCTAGTGGTATACCCCATGCTCCATTTTGTGTTTTAGATTTCTTGTCCCTGAAGGCTTCAGACCTGCATGCCAAGGTAAGCAGGTACCTGCTGAGCAGGTGTTACATGAACAAGTTCTGCTGTGCAAAACCTTCGTTATTCTTCATTCTCATTCTCTGTGCCTGATTGCCATGGTGGGTGGGCAATTGAGCAGGAGTGGACTAGTACGCATCCTAAAAATTTACTAATTTCAAAAGGGAGAGAGGGAGGACTGGGAGGCAAAATGTGACTTTAGAGTCCCAAATTCCATGCTTGAAACAGATTACAAAGCATTGAGTAGAAATCTGCTTCAAACTCTTCCAGGACATGCATTAACTTTAGGTTTAGAAACGAGGTCCTGGGAGGTATCCTGCAGCTTCTGTCCCTCACCACCTACATGGGAATTTGTATGAATGTGTTGGGACCTTTCGCAGGGCAGCAATGATGAGTCATTACAGTAATTGATAGAATTGCTCGTAGACTACAATCTGGGAAGGAAATTATCAGTTTGCTGCTTAGGCTGTTTCTGGTTTCTTGGTTTTGTTGCTCACATTCATCGAAGGGTCATCTTACATGGTCATCTTGTCCCCAGTCTTGTTTGGGCTCAAGGGGAAGTCAGCCCTGTGTTAAAGGTTTGAGATCTTGCACTTGTCCTTAGAAGAACACATTGTTTTCACATCAATGTTCTTGTTTTCACATCAGTGTTCTGGGTGAGGTATCCTATGTTTTATAATGTCAAGTACTAGCTCTTTAAAAATTCACATTTTTACTGAGACCTGGCAGCTTTTTCCTATATCCTGTAGCAGGGAGGGGGAGTATAGTACAAGAGCAAAAATCTCAGACCTTCTAGAAGACATTTGTCTCTTGATCAGGGGATTAATACCAGAGCTGAGGGTTGCTAGACTTCAGATAGAGGTCCTGAGTAACTGTGGAAGTAGTTTTCAGTATCATGTGGTCTCCATTTACAAGTAGTAAGCCGGTATAAGAAATGTTTAATCCTTGGGAAAGGAAAATGTCTTATTGTGCCTTTCTGACTCATCTGTTGCTTTCAAAGTGCAGTTAAGGAGGAAATTAGATTACTGAAAAGCTGGCAGGTGGTTCTGAATATGGGTTTGCAAGGCAGTCCTGCTCAGCTGTGTTCTGGTGTTAGAGACTCATGTGTAGCACAAGCTCAACTCTGGAGAGAAGGAAAGGTCAGGGTGGGTTCAATGAACTTGGGCTCTGAAAATAGTTTTTTTCATGTATCATGATGTGGAGGGAAGTGCAAAGCAGCCAGAAAGTCCAGCTAAATGCTGATGGGGAAAAGGAGGAGGCATTTTTATAAGTGTGGAGATGAACTTAATGTTTGTGTAACTTGAATTCTACTTCTGTAGCAATTTCTTGGACTTAGGAATCACCTGTTTACCTGCCCATAGATGAGATGTTTCTACAGTACTGATTTAAGCCTCTGCTGATGCCACTGCTGTTTGGTATTTATTTCTGTGCAAATACATTAATTTGCATTTTCTGCGTTACCCTGTGTATTGAATAAGTCATGTCAGCAGATTGCCGAAGGTATGTGATTCCGTGCACAAGCCAGCAGCTGTCCAGGTGCAGATTGTGTGGATATTATATGGACATAATGTGTTGACACCTAAACAATCCAATTCAGATTTCAAAACCGAAAAGCTATTTAACTGCTACCTGGTAGTAGTTTAATCTGTGAATGTGTTTAATATAAGGAAAGTTGTAGCTGTTCTCAGAGTGTTTAGTGTTCTGCTTTCTGGCTTCTTCCTTTCTCAGAGTGTTTAGTGTTCTGCTTTCTGGCTTCTTCCTTCATTTCATTACTCCTGCCCATAGTCTTGTGATAGCTCGCGTAGTATTTTTTTAGGTGGACTGAGCACTGTCACTGTTGGTCCACAATGGAGAATCAGCATCCGTAAGAAATACTGGAAATGCTCAGTGTAGAGGATTCCTACTAACTTTGCTGTACAGACCTTGTTGTACTGCTCTTGGCCAGGAGAAATTAAGGATGTTATTAAGGGCTTCTGTTTGAGGTGGCTACTGTCTGCATGTGTTGTGCTGAAAACATAATAATCTGCTACATGAACCCAAGGTGCAGAGAACAGTGCTGCGATTGAAGCGTAGCTTGGGAGGATGGGTGGAGGCACAGACCTGCTCTGAAGGCAAAGCAACTGTTCTAATAAAACGGTTTCTGTTGGTTTACTTACTGCATCTCTGCAAAGGACCTGCACAAAGATGTTTTTCTAGAAGATGGTATTGCTGCAATTAAAGCTTCATCTCACATGGCTTTTAACTTACAGGTCAAAGCTTCAAGAATAAAACTGAAAGTGGTGTGTGTTTTGCTTCATATTAAATAACTTTTGAGACTCAAAGTGTAAATCCAGCTGTGGGTAGGGACCCTTTTAGGGCTTTCACAGTTGCTGTACTGAGATAAGTAAGATGAGCGCAAGGTAAATGGGCTTGTCTAAAGCATTTACCTTTGTCAAAGTTAGTCATTGGTTATCTTTTAAGCCTTTCCAAAGGTTTGCTCTACTCCCACGTGCGTGGTGTGACATGAGCAACAAATACCAGTGAATATTGAATATTCTTGTAATTTGTAGGCCATATTGGTGTTTCATTCTGGGCTTTAATATTATAACCTTGCAGGGCTGAAGGCAGGGGAGAGAAGAGCTGGCGACTGTTGGAAAGGAGAAGCAGAGTTAACTTTAACAGTGCAGGAGCCCAATCTGACTCAGCCAGTTGAGGAACATATTAAGTGATGTTATCTTCTGAAATGTATGGAACTCGTATAGCTGAAGATGTCTCCTCAGCCCATCTGAGATTCTGTGTGTGGAGTCCTGTTGTCCCCAGCATAGCTTGGGGACAGTCAAGTGGAGTGTCTGAGTGGAAGACCATGTCTTCGGCCCCCTGAGAGCAAAGGAGGGTGCACCAGAGGCCAGGACAGCTGTTTATTGGCCTCACAGAATTGGGGGGGGAGCTACAGGGAATAGTTTCAGCAGGCTGAGGACTCGGGCTCTTACCCCTGTGTTAGATGCGAAGGCTCTGGACTGCTGGATGCAGAGGTGTTCCTTCCCTCCTGCCTCTCCACAGCAGTTGTTACAATGAGGCATAGATGAGCTGCATTTTCCTGCCAGCAGCAAGCTCCCTGCCCCAGCCATCTGACACAGCGTGCATGTGGGAAAACCAGAAGAACTGGATAACTGGTTAAATATGAAGCAGATGCTAAGATGTTGTGTGAAGTCCTAAACAGCTAGAGGCTTTGCAAACACGGGCTGGGAATTGAGGGAGGGGTGTCTCAATGGGAATCAAAGTCCGTGTTGCAAGCCCACTGATGAATTGTTGATGTGGGAAGAAAGCCCACCAAGCACTGCATGATTTAAAATGCTCTCTTTACCCTGACATCGCACTGCTTTTTCCCACCCAGGTGGATCGCTATACGCTGAGGAATGGTCGTCATATTATACTGCTAGCGGAGGGCCGACTGGTCAACCTGGGCTGTGCCATGGGCCACCCGAGCTTTGTTATGAGCAACTCCTTCACCAACCAGGTGCTGGCACAGATTGAGCTGTGGACCAACAGTGACAAATACTCGGTCGGAGTCCATTTTCTGCCAAAGAAGGTGAGTTAGAATAGCAGAAAGATGCAGGCTTGTAAGGAAGCCAGCTCTGGATGTCATTGCATAGATTTGTTTCGTTTGTGCTTGAGTTCATTTTCCTACTGAATGTTGTTGTCATTGCATTCTGTCCCTCAGTGAGTGCTTGGCTTTGGTCATGCTGAGTCTGAAGTGGGCTGTTTTTTGTGGCTAACCTGTTGTACAGAACGCAGTCTTGTCTGTCCCATGCAATAGGAACATACAGTCACTCTTTGGTTTGACCTGGGGCTCTTCTCTAAGGTGCTGGGAAGCCCTGTGCTGCCTCAGGGTAGGCAGGGAGCTTCTCCCAGCCACCTTGTTCCTTCGGCTGAATGTCAGCATTCACAGCAAGCTTTCACATGCCTATCCAGCGGCAAAGTCTAGTGGGGCAGAGTTGAAGCTGGAGTGAAACTAGGAGTCACTTTTATGAGTTTGGGTCCCATTTGATGTGAGCAGAGTTTATCACAGTCTGGTCCTAATAGCTTCACGAGATATTCATGACAGATTCCCTTGGGTTCCCCTTTAAACTTACCTCTGCTGCATTCTTTGTTCTCAGAAAAATATGGTCATGTCAACTCACAAATTCCTTTAATAAAACTCATCTGGTTTTAATTTTCCAAAACAAGCCTGAAAATTTGAGATGATCACTGAAAAAGATGCTGGAGTTAAATCCCACTACTTTTGGAATGCAACCAGGTGTGAGACTAAATGTGAAAATACTTTTCATTTGGGAAGTAGAATATGTATGTTTGGGCTTGCTTATGAAGTGTTTGCTGAAGGTCTTAAGCTTCCAAAACCATTAATGATCAAGCAAAACATACTAGATATAGGATGTAGGGATTGATCAGGAAGCTGACAGATAATCATCTTCAAAAGAAAAGTTTTGTTGGCAGTTCTCTCAAAAATGATAGTTCAGTGTTGCTAATAAAATGTGGCATCATCCTCTTCCTGAATAACAATTTTTGGTGAGCATACTTGAAATGTAAATTATGAGTAATGCCCAGATCAGTTACTTAGAGCTGCATGTTAATGGAGCATATGGCAGTGATCTTTTCAGGTTCGTGTAGTGTGACGAAATGCTTTTTTTACCCTCTGTGTTCCATAGAGAAATTCAAAGAGTAAAGCAGTCACCTTGCCAGAACCAAAAAAAGATGGGCAGAAGAGCTTTCTCTGATAGATTTCTGGCTAGTATCTTTCCTTATTCTGTGTAGTAGCTTTGATATCCAAATGTAAAATTTGAGAATGACCAAGTAATTGCAATTACATTGCACTTTCTTTGAGTGCAAGAGTATCTCTTTTCTGCAATGCGTGTTCCGGAAAGTCTAGGCAAACTGTTTGTGTGTTGTTGGCACCAAATCCCCAAATCCATCCATCCTTATGCTCAGATATCTGATTTTAAGGTAAGAATGTCAGCTTACCTCTGTCTAAATTTCTACCTTTTTGTCTAAATTTTGAAGTCCCCAAGCTGGAGCAACTGTGAAACAACTTATCTCTGCTGCAGTCTGAGAACCTGATCTGGGAAATGTCAGGGACTTTGCTCCTTTTCAAGTGGATGTAATCTGTCTTAAACTTGCTGGAAATGCACCTATTGGATCTTGACATTTCAGTGGAGTCAACCAGATATGCATTCAATTTCTAACCCTCTTTTTTTTCCCTGGAAAGGTCTACTAAGTGTAAATACTTGTTTCCCTTCTAAACACAGTCCTTCCAGTTAGTTTTTCTTTCTTTGTGATTTTCCTGACTCTTTTGTAGCGTTCGGAAGCTTTCATGGTTCACTTCCACATTCTTCAACCACTTTGTCTTATGTTTTTAGTTTTGTCTTGTGCATCTTTCGCTGTAATGGTTCTCAAGAGATGTTGGCGGTTCCATATTCTTAAGAGATGTTGGCAATTCTACTGTGAGCAGGTTGAGCTGCAGTGAACTTACACTCTGTACTAAATGTAGCTTTCTTTCTACCTGGTTCATTACAATGGGATTACTTCAGAGTAGTTGGTTAATACTACACTCCCTTCGAGTGGGAAATATTTTTTTTCCAGTATTAGAACTTAATCTAAAATTGTGAGATGGTGGTCTAGTATGTCCAGGTGTTTTTGTAGCGGAAACATGACTGAGGCTTTACCATTCTACCAAGCTGGATATTCTTATCTCTGAATAGTTTGATCTCTGTTCTTTACTTGTTGGATGGATGTGAATGTGTAAATGAGATTGAAATGGGCTTGATTATATAAAGGTGTCAGACTCACTTAAGCTTCACTCAAAAGCATGGAGCTTTTCCGTCTGAGTGCAGTTCTGTGCTTAAAGCAGATGCCTCTGTGCTCAAGCAGATGAGGTATATTGGCAGGAAAAGAGCTTTCTGACTGGTAATCTGTTTCGGTCTAAGTCCTCCTTGGGGCTGCTGTTGGTTTTCATGTATTCATTTCTCACTATTGACTGTGACTTCCTGAACTAATATGACTCTGTTCTGGTAATATTCTTGTCTCAATATTTTGTTTTCCAGCTGGATGAAGCTGTGGCTGCTGCTCATCTGGATAAACTATGTGTGAAGCTGACAAAGCTGAGTGACAAGCAGGCCAAATACCTCGGCTTATCCAGAGATGGGCCGTTCAAGCCAGACCACTACAGATACTGAGCAGGTGGCACTACCCAAAGACCAAAGTGCAGGGACAGAACCTTCCAAAGCTCTTGTGTTTGCCATGCTCCTCTGTGCTGCAGAACCCCTCCTCTTACCAAGGGAGCTTCAGGGCCTTATTTGTTAGTGAAAGAGGATCACTCTGACTCTTGGAATTAGAATTGGTTACTTAGCTAATGTCACGGTGAAAAGGATCCTATGCACCCTTTATTGTCTCCTAATGTCCCAGTAAGGGGAGCAGGACAGAAGATTGCTAAATGAAAATGCATAATCTTGTCAAACGTGACTGACAGCCTCTTTGAACAGACTAACCAGTAACATGGGGAATGGTTTCTACGGGGAGATGCTTTCTGCCATGCCCTGCTCAAATGACATGAATCCTGTTAGGAGGCTGTCAGTGTCAGGCTTCTTTCCACAAAGGTGCACTAGCTGGAGTGCATGTTTTGAAACTGGAAGAAGTAGGGAGGAGTATAGGTTGTTTGATCTCCTTCCTGTAAAATCAGCTTAATCTCCTACTTGGGATCTTGAGATTAGAGCTGGAGTTTTTTTTTTCTGGGTTAATTTACTCCATGAGTTTTGGTCAGAACAGAGACCCTTCTATGCTTCTTCCATACCAACTTGAGGAGGGGTGAGGCAAGAGTGACTTTTTTTTAGCAGCCTTCTAGTGTGTTGTGAGCGGCTGAGAACTCACTGAGGGGCTGGTTAGGTTTATAGACCTTGTTTGATCCTCTGAAAACACCAGCAGCACACTTCTACCCCCCAACTTGATTCTTCTGAGTTGTCACATCTGCTGTATCTTGTTTGTCACTGACTCAAAGTGCTTTTATTAAATATCTGACTGTGGCCTGACTTGTTTTGTACAGTGAGATGCTTTGGGTTTTGCCATGGATTTGTTTACTTTTGTGTGATCCTTCATTTACTGAAAGTACTTAATGTATCCACATGGGGTTTCCTCAAGGCAAAAGCTAGTGCTGTGGCTAGCCTGCATCATACATTGGAGTTGGGAAAACATGTTCCTCAGGTTATTTAAATATTTGAAGGGCTGAATCTTATAGGAAAAACACTCTTCCCCTCTGCTCACACAGATCTCCATCTATGTCATGGGAGTTCTCTCCTGCCACTGTCCTCTTCAGTCAACATTATACAGCAGGCCGCCTCTGTTTCTGGATGTAAGAAGGTGAAGGGTTTGGTATGATGGTAAAACATGCTTGAAGTGCTATGAGATTCATGTCCAAGCATGAGGTGTGGTGTCAGTGAGCAAGTAAAACAGGTGGTGAAGAGTGTGGAATGCTAAAGGAGGGGAAAAAGGAATGAGTAAACAAGGTGTTGCTCAATATGCAGCTCTCTCCATTCTTGTTTTGCATTGACCTCTAAAAAGCACCAATTTTAACCGAATTTGTGCCTCATAAATCCCAAAGGGGATTATCCTTTAAACTTATATAAACACTGAGCTCCACACAGGTACACGCAGTTGTAGTACACATCTAAATACAGGTGATGGTGACTGCGTGTCGTGCATAGCTGTGTGTGGCAGAGAGTAATGATGATAGAAAATGTCATTGTAGAAGAACAAATGCAATAGGAAAACAAGGACTGGGTGCTGCCCTTATTCTTCATTAGTTTCCTGTAGCTGGGCTTTGGTTTCTCTAAACTCGTTTCTCAGCTGAACAACCTGAAGTACATGGTTGTAATTCTACTGTTAGACTTGGATCATGGATTCATAGGATAATTTAGTTGGGGGGGGTGCACCTGGAAGTCTCTGGTTCATCCCTGTCCTCATACCAGGGCCAATTAGGTGAGGTTGGAGATCAGCTCATCCAGGTGACATGCAATTGTCTCCGTGGACAGAGATCATATAACTTCCTTAGGCTTGTTTCCCAGTATTTGATCACCCTCTAGATGAAAATATTTTTCTGTACATTAAACTGGAATTTCCTGTGTTGCAGCCTGTGCTCATTGCTTCTCAGTTTTATCCCTCTGCGCTCTGAGAAGGGTCTGGCTCCATCTTCACTACATGCTTGCATTAGGTCATCATAGGCAGCAATAAATTCACCTTCTCCAGGTTGAATAAACCTGGGTCTTACGCTCTTTGTGCATCCTATACGTCAGTCCCCTGGTCATCTTGGTGACTCTCTGTACTGAGATGGATGCTCTCAGGTATGTCAATGTTGTCATCATACTGGGGAGCCAAAACAGGATGCAGGTATCTTTAAAAAAGTGCCATCCTTCAAGAGAAGGATCCCTTCTCTTGACCTGCGGTCTCCACTTTTGTTGGTGCAGCTCTGGATAAAGTTTGTCTGCTTTACTGCATGGGCCGTCAAGGACCTTAATCTTCACAGTCTCTGGAGGAAAAGCTGCCTTCACCTTTCCATTGTTGAATAGTTTTGTTTGGGGTTTTTTTTTTGAGTCTCTCTTAGTTGGCTCATTGACCACCTGTGTCAAGAAACTTGCCTCGATGGTCTCCATAAATCTGTATTGCTTGTGCACAAGCCTGCTGCCCTTCCGGGAGGTGCCAGAGTGGCTGAGATTATCTGCCAGGGTTTGCTGTCAAAAGGTTGTTTTGTTTTTTGGGTTTTTTTTCAACTATCTAAAGAAATTTTCATCTCCCTCCTGTTGTGGCCAGGTGGTTTTGTCAGATGCCCTCCACAGTGCCACCTGAGTTGGTCTGTCCTCTGATACTTAACCCAGAAACTTTTTGACTCAATTCTCAAAGAATTGCAGTCTCACAGAAGTTAAGATGAAAGGGCTTGCTGACACCCTGAATTTATCTAAAATACATATTCCGTTGGCTGATCAGTGTACACTGTTAATGATAGCAGGGTGCTTTTTTGCTTGAAATATGTTTTTTGGGGTGAAGATTTGTCAAGAGTGTTTTTGAGGGGGGCCTAACAACCAGTGGTTCTGTGTTAATGGTGCTTTGTTCTCATTTTGTATGTTGGGTGGTGGGTCAGGACTTTTTTTTCTACCATGTTCCTGTTTACGTTCATTACAGATTGCTTGCAGAATTTGTGTGTTTAATGTGTAGAGAAAGCTGTGTGTATATATTTATATAGATTTGGTTTTCCTCGGAAGACTTGAGGTCTTGTGTTTCCTGGTTTTTGGAGCCCTTGGGAAGTCTGGTAAACATTTGACTCAGGGCCAGCAACTCCTGAGTTTCCAAAAATATTTCTAGTGAGATTCTGTGTGCAAAACTATGCCTGGAGAGCCCAACATAAATTCATATTGCTTAGCCCTTGTTCAAACTCCGGAAGCTTTGAGCACATGAAGTAGTGATTCCATAGACATGTCGGAAGTGTCCAGACACCAGCAGCTTGACCAGCTCTGAAACATCTGCTGTGCTTTGCATGGCCCTGGGCCAGGGCACTAAAACATCGCTGTGAGAAAGAACAAGTGTCTAGTAACTTCCTAGCACAGCTCTTTCATTGAATAAACTCATGAAAAACTGATTGGCTGCTGAAAATATAGCAATTTGAGCAAGTTAACAATGTGAGAATTTGACTTGGAACATGGTTTGAGTTGATAAAACAGAAAATTTATATTTGGAGTACATTCTGCTAGATCTTCTCTTTTGTTGGTTGAAGAGGACTAGATCAAACACAGACCCTAATAAAACCATTGGCAGAATTTCTGTTCCTCCCTCCTGCTCCCTGCAGTTCAGTTGTGGTTTAGTGCTGCCTGCGGAAGAAATGCTGTGCCCAGCACCTGTCAACAGCATGGTGTGTGAAATGGCAGCGTTGCTGCAAGGGGGTGTTTGATATTTTTGTCTAGCTGTTATTGTGCACTGTAGCTTAGCAGCCTCTTCCTAAATGGAGTCATCTTACCTCTTGCTATGGTATGAGCTGTACTTTGGACAAACTCATGGGTTGCTTTAGTTTGAACTCTTCCTCAAGAGCAATTTTTGAATAACCTTTACAGTAGAATATGCAGATTTTGCTTCCATTTCAGAAGCTTTCTAGAATGGATGGACGACTTTGAAACCTGACCTTTGGTGTAGAGCTGATTTCCTTTAAAAAATACATATTGTTGTCTCATGTCCTGACTCCCTGCTAATTTCTCAACAGGTGTCCAATCTATATTGAAGGAAGTGTGCCCAGGTGGCCAAGAAGGCCAACAGCATCCTGGCTTGTATCAGAAACAGTGTGGCCAGCAGGACCAGGGCAGTGATCATCCCCCTGTACTGGTGAGGCTGCGCCTCAAATGTTCAGTTTTGGGCCCCTCATTACAAGAAAGACACTGAGGGGCTGGAGCATGTCCAAAGAAGAGCAATGAAACTGGTGAAGGGTCTGGAGAACAGGTCTGATGAGGAGCAGCTGAGGGCACTGGGGTTGTTTAGTCTGGAGAAAAGGAGGCTGAGGGGAGACCTCATCGCTCCCTACAGCTGCCTGGCAGGAGGCTGTAGCCAGGTGGGGGTCGGTCTCTTCCCCAAGTGACAGGTGATAGGGTGGGAGGAAACAGCCTCAAATTGCACCAGGGGAGGTTTAGATGGGATATTTGGAAATGTTTGTTCACTGAAAGACTTCTCAAGCACTGGAGCAGGCTGCCCAGGGCAGCGGTTGTCACTATCCCTGGAGGTGATTAAAAGACGTGTAGATGAGGTGCTTCGGGACATGGTTTAGCGGTGGCCTTGGCAGTGGTTGGACTTGATGATTTTAAGGGTCGTTTCCAACCTAAATGATTCTATGAAATGACATTATTGCTTGCTTGTTATTGGTAAGAGCACATCTGCTCTCACTGAGTTTCACTAAATCATTTGCAACTAATTTTTTAGCTGTTTGCACTTTTTTTTTTTTTTTGATCTACTGGAATCCAGTTTTCAGTGTAGCCTGAGGTCGAGCATCTTGATTCCCTAAATACTGTCAGTCCCACTGTGATTACCTTACAGTGTTTTTGGCAGGAGATAATGGATGAAGAACAATAGCATCCGAGAACCCAGCATCTGTAGGTATTGAGGTTTGCGAGTGCCCCCTCGTCAGCGCTGAAACCCTGTGCATCAGCTCATACAGTGTCCACCATCTGGCATGGTGAGTCATATGACAGTCTTATGGCTATGGCTTTTCTC